TCTCAGGGCACAAGGAAGACATGCGTCGAGACTCTTCTCGGTTCTGGCACCAAGGTGGTGGAATGAACTTCCCTTAGATGTCCGAACAGCTGAGTCACTGGCAGTCTTCAAACGACGTCTAAAGACTTACCTCTTCATTAAGTACTTAAGTTAGCACTTGCGCGCACACACACACACACACACACACACACACACACACTCAAAAAAAAAAAAAAAAAAAACCCAACAGATTCTTGGGCTGATGGTATTCCTAGTTTGTGACCTAGTAAGCCGGTATCAGGATGTATTTTTGATAGACTTCAAAGCACTATTGTAAGTCGCTCTGGATAAGGGCGTCTGCCAAATGCCGTAAATGTAAATGTAGTTATACAAAGGGCTTTATGTGTGAGGTTTTAAAAAGTGTCTGTTTCTTTTGGTTCAAGATGTTTTTGAGAATAGAGTTTTATATAGAATTAGATTGTCTCAAAGCCACTTTCAGAGCATCAACTAGGGCTGTATTCAAGAGGCTGTATCCAAGAAACATGGTCACAAAGCAGCTTTACACAGCTAGAAAAGGTTCAGTCAGTCATTATTTGTTACAGATGTAGATTTAGATCACTATTGAGCAAGGGGGTGACAGTGGCAAGGAAAAATTCCCTGAGACAACATGAAGAAGAAACCTTGAAAGAAACAAGACTCAGAAGGAACTCACTGTTTTCAGGGTGACACCAGATAGTGGGATTATAAATCATTACTCTATCAGCTGGAATGTGAATATACTCCTCTACTTTGTGTGCACCTTTCCGGGTAAAAGATGCATACTAAAGTTACAAACTGTATATTCTTATATACATATATATTAACCAACAAGGACTCTACAATATATTAGCTTAACAGTTTCCAAAAGTTCATTTTTTAACATTTATGGCATTTTGCAGACACCCTTATCCAGAGTGACTTACATTTATCTCATTTATACAACTGAGCAGTTGAGGGTTAAGGGCCTTGCTCAAGGGCCCAGCAGTGGCAGTGGATTTGCACTCACAACCTTCCAATTAGTAGTCCAACGTCTTAACCACTGAGCTACCACTGCCCCAAAAGTGATACTAATCTTTAAAGCAGTCACATATTATCTCACTAACATATTTTACTGTGTCACACAGGAAAAACAGCCAGGCCACTGCAGAAAACAGGATTGTACCTTTAGGCCTGAGAAGCCATGGTCCACAAGAGGGTGTACTGTTCTCCCAGCCAAGTGAAGATTACCTAGATCTCAGTAAAAAAAAAAAAGTGAAATTACCTAAATCTCAATGTTTCTCAATGTCTTTCATGTACTTCATGCATGTGTGTTTGTAGGTCAGTTTTCTCATATGGGAGAGGAAATGTCTGGTGCCTCTCTGAGCAGTTGCTTCTGATAGTTGTTTCTCATGTTACACTGAAATGTTTGTTACATCCAGTGTATCTCTTGAACCAATGGCTCCATATATGGTGCACATTAATTGAAAAGAGAATCTCTAACCCTAGAGAGGCGATAACCCCCATTTTCCTGATTCCTGTTACATCCACCTAAGAAAGCATATGTATGAAAAGCTGCATTCTCATATATTCTGGAAGTTTCTATGATTTGTTCCTGCAGGCAAATGCCATCTCACATTGGGCGGAGACCCATCTTGATAAAAGCAGATATACTGTACGTGGCAATTGATTTACAGGAAGAAGAATGCATAATTCTGGTCTTGGTTACACAAAGGGCTTTATGGGTGAGGTTTTATGTAATGTCCATTTCTATCGGTTCAAATGGTCATGTGATTATGCCTTTGTGCTTAAGATTGTGGTTTGTGGAATTTTTTTCATGCACTAAAGATGGTCTAACTGACTGAAATCTTTTAAAAAAATGTTTTTTGTAGCTCAAACATTTTTGTAACTCTATGTTCTAAAATCATCTTTTGCTTGCAATGCAGTCCTCAGTCTTTTTGGTTAGGAGTCTACAAACTTAGCACATCTTGATTTGGCACTTTTACGTCTATGCAAAAATGCTCCAGATCTATCCAATTGTGATGGTATCTCCTGTGCACAGCCTCTTCTAGTCATTCCACAGCTTTTCTATATGCTTTAAGGCTGACGGGGCCATTCCAAAACATCATCTTCTTATGAAGCCAATCCTTGGATGACTTAGATTTTTGTGCTTTGGGTCTTTATCGTGCTGGAAGGGGAACATTTTCTTCAATCATATTTATGAATTATAAAATAAATCTATCTATGATTGTTTACAATTTAAAAAGTCTAAATAAATTACAGTATCAGTGTATTGTATATATTTTAATTACTAAATATGAATATTAAGTTCAATTCAATTCAATTTTATTTGTATAGTGATTTTAACAATGGACATTGTCACAAAGCAGCTTTACAGAAATAAATACATTCAAATTAAATTATATCAAAATAAATTGTAAATATGTTATTTTTTCCCTAATGTGCAAGCCAGAGGCGACAGTGACAAGGAAAAACTCCCTGAGACGATATGAGGAAGAAACCTTGAGAGGAACCATTTTCAAAAGGAAACCCACCCCCCTGGGTGATAACAGATAGTGCAATTATAAATAAATCCCTTCTATAACTGTGTACTATATGGACAAATAGTGCAATTGTGTAACCAGGAAATTCATTACTGTTTTCAAATGAAGTCTGGTTTCTTGAACCTATCCACTGTCCACTGATGGAGTCCTGAGTGCAAAACTGCTCACAGCAACCGCAGCCCCAAAGCCACCAAAACAATTGCAGTACAACTCCCCATATGAGATCCCCAAGCCATCTCCAAGACCCCCCAAGTGGCACCATCCCCAGCAATCCCACTGATCTTCAGGCCGTTCATGTGGGGCCACCCCCAGCAGCAGCAAGCAATCTCAACCGAGGAGAACTCCATCCAGACCTCATTGAAGGCCATTGAGACAATTGAAAAACCCTATCAAATGCAATCTTCGGATGACCCCCCCCCAACCCAGCCGCAAACCAAGACAAGCCCCTGGTTCTGATAAGCCAAAAAATATGACTTTTTGTAGCTTTTAGTTTTAAATTTTGTGGTTAGGGATATATATATTTTTAATCAATCATTGGTAAATGCTTATATAATGGCATCTTTAGTGTCAACTTTTTCACAAATTGTGTTGGAACACTATTAATAAAGGACAAATATGTTTTCCTAGGCCTGTCTAAATCTCTTGAATGTGAGGGTTAACCATAGTTTTAAAAAAGTGTGTATATATATATATATATATATATATATATATATATATATATATATATATATATATTTAATAATTAATATTTAAAAAAAAAAAATAAAAGCAGTAATTTCTTATAAAAATCATCAGCACACACAAACCAGACATTTAAAAAAAAATCTGTTGGCATACATATGCATTATATGACATATATTCATTTTTAAATAGAAAAAAATAATGAAAAAAGTAGTAGAGATATGAAAAGAAAGAAGTAAAAAAAAGATAAGAATAAAAAGGACCTCAGAATGTATAGTTTTAATAAGGTATTTACAACAACCTGCAGGTGGTGGTAGTGAACATTTAGAGCTTTAGATCAGTGGGCCTCATTTGTAAAGCTGGATACAAACAGATTTATTTGTAAATCATTCACAGAAGCGTTTTCCCAAGAAATTTCGTATTCAGGAAAATCCAGTAATTTTGGAAAAAACATTTGCATCCTACTTGTGCTCCTGAGTGTGTGTAAATTCACGCGTAGGAAGACTAACTAATGTAAACCTCAACTTGATTGATTTTAAATCATATAATTTGCATTGATTACAGCGTTTTTATATATCGACTATAATGTCTAGCTTTAATTTTTTTGTGTGTTTGCAGCATTTAGCAGATGCCCTTATCCAGAGCAACTTAAAGAAAAGATTTGGAGTCTCTATCAACATATCCTCATGCTAGCTCACTAAGACAGGGACTAAGAGTACCATTAGAAAATTTTGTGAAAACCAATTATGACAAAAGAAATGCCACTGTATAAGCGGAGGATATGCTGGTCTGTCTGCGCATAGCCATAAGTCAAAACGAATGCCACATCTGACAGAAGATTTAGCATGTCTTTCTTTCTGTGCAACACTTCCAGCAGACTGGCTGAGACAGTATTAAAATAGCAGTTTTCCTGTGTCACATTCTTGGTGTCCATGATCATCTGGGTACAGTGTAGATCTTATTTTCTCATCCATTTTCAGGTCACACAATTCTTTTTTCCACCTAATTTAATTGACACCTAATCTTTTGGTTTAATTTAATTGACACCTAATCTTTCTGACCTTTTCTGAAATTTGTCTCTAGTTGGCATAAAAAGTCAGAATAACTTCCACTTCTGCATTTCTGCTCTATCTTTCCCTGTTTAGTAGTCATCTCATGTTTCCAGCCCTCTATGCACTTGAACTTTTCTGGAGTTTTATGGCCATCACTAAATGCAGATGATTATGTTAAATCATTATGTACGATCAACATTAAAAAAAAATAATAAAGAAAACAGTGTTTCTGAAACTTTTGTAAATCCAGTTGAAAATCTTTGTTCAGTTACACACAAATTTACTAAAAGATTGATAAATAAGGCCCATGAGTCTAATGAGAAAAATGCCTTGGTAGTTACCTTAATAACTTTTTAAATGATTCCCTTTTAAAATTCTGAAACAATATAATTACTAATCAGTCATCAGATGATAGTATCTGGTCCTTTTATTCTTCACTCTATCTTCTCTGGTGGTACAACTTCCATTAGCAGCTGAAGATGCATGGTGAGGGGAGCTGAGAATATTGCAGGTGAATATTTAAAGATTAAAAACTTGTGCTATACATTCGCAATTTCCATTTTTACATTCCTAAGTAACTGGGATTGATCCTACTTTATAAAGAGAAGTGAGCTGTACTAAATGTACTACTTTTGTGAACAATAAACTGGTGTAAATAATATGGTAGCATATTATTACTTATTAATTTTATTTCATGCGATTGTTGGTATGTTTTCTGCTCTCAGCTTCAGCACCACTGACATTTAAAGCCAAGCAAATCTAATATTCAGCTTATAAAATCATTTATTTATTTCTACATTAAAGGTGCAATTGTTGATTTTTTATTTCTTACTTGTAAAAATAACCTGGAAAATACATAGAATATGATTAAAAAATGGTTTAAGCCATGGCCTCAGCACAAGTATATCATATGGCTGAAAGGTTTTCCAAGATTGAGTAATTTATTACTGGTAAAAGGAATGAAGCTGGGTGCAGAATTAGTGATGTTCCTGGCCAGGTCTGTAAACTGTCTGTATCTGTATAAAGCTCAATTTGTATAAAGCTTCGCCTGCTTCACCTAATGAATCAAGTAAATACATTTTTAGCATTTGGAGAGCCAGGAAAGCCAATGCTTTGGATGAACCACCTTTAACTGTATATGATGTTAGATAACTCCCATTTAGATATGCTAACGGTGCTATGCTAACAATGCTAACATCATTAGGTTGAATGGTTGAATGGTGGAGTGGGTTAAAGCTAAATGCTTAAAATGCTAACATCAGCCAGCAACGCACTGGAGAAGCCGATACTCGCCACTGTAACAAGTAAAGTATATGTAACATGATTAGATGATAAGTCACTCAGGGTAAGTGAAATGTAATGGTTATTAATCTCCAAATGCAATAAATCAATGGCTGCTGAGGGAAGATGCTTATCTAAGAAGCTGAGTTAGCCGAGTTTCTGAAAGCCAAGCCATCCTGTGTATAAACTAGCCTATAGCCTCCCTATTCATTGTTTTTACAAACTTGTGAAATTGTTCTTTTAGCTCAAGCTCAAAAAAATAAAATAAAATAAAATAAAATAAATTATTGCCATCTGCTGTGGCATTTTTATATTTGTCTCTTTTATTTATGTTAGCAAAATGCTAAAAAGATATTTATCTTTTGTGAGGTCTATTTTTGTGCAACAAACATTAGCTACTTTTATCATCTATATCTAAATAAAGAAGTAAGCGAATGCCCTTAATAAATAAACAGCCTAGCTCAAAAGTGATGTCATGCTAATCATGCTAGTTGATGTCT